GCTTGATTCAGTTTTATGGAGATTGAATCAGGCCCCTTCATTTCACTGCTGTTAAGCAAGGAAGTTCTCCATGGCTCCTTGCTCTTAACACTACTGCCTCCCTTCAAGCCTGGTGTCGGATCAAGGGAGTGACACATGTGCAGCCCACAGTGATTATTTTCTTCTCCAGTCTGTATGATTGTTGGCAGCCCTTCTGCTCCCTCCGGAGGATGAGAATCTCCTGTCTGATGGGGACAGAGTTGACACTGTGGTCCAGCTGCCCATCCGAATTCACACACCTGGAGTGGCGGCACTTGGCATCGGCGATCACTCCGGGGGAACGTTTTTTTCATCGGCGATCACTCGGGGGAAACGGTTGTGGTCCTCATCAATGCTGTGAATTGACAGGAAAGGAAGCATTGGAAATGGAAATGCTGTTGAAGCTCCAAAAGCAACATAATCTGGATAACTATGGGCTGGGGAACCTGTTCCTCTCAGGATATATTGCCTATAAAAAGGGCAGCAGACCTTCCACTACTGTAGGTTTTTAAGAAACGGTGTAAGTAAATAAAGAAGTTGATGATCTTAGACGTCTTTTCCAACCTCAATGATTTTGTGATTCTAAATATTCAGGTTTTATGGTGTAAGAGAAACATACCAGGCTGCATGCAATTGTCTTAAGAAAAATCTTACTTCAAGCAGGCACTCACTTTGCAAGACTGAGCAGAAATTATTTGAGTTTCCCAACATATTTCTCTAATTAATGGACTCAAAAACCTTCAGCTCTCCCCTGAAACAGGAAACCTTCTTCAGGCCTAATGCTGATGTTTTTAAACCACCATTGAATTTGGTGCAATCTTGTCTCTTTAAGGTGGGGTCTTTTTTGTGATGTGTTAGGTAAAGAATGTTTTTGAAGATAAAACTTGTCCCAATAAATAAATTAATTAAATTCCAAAAGTAATTTGCTTTGCCTTCTGTATGATTTTGGTCTCTGCTCCTTTCTGTATCAGTTTGCTTTCAAAGAGGATTATATGGACTGTGGATACCCTCACATTTCCAAAATCTCTCAAGAGTGAAGCATAGCCTTGGCATTATTCTTAAGCAGGGCAGCCAGTGTATTTCCAGACCACAGGGACAGAGATCATACCTGTAATCCCAGGGAGCCAGAGAGCGATTGCTGACATCAAAACCCATTTTGGTGTCCTGGTTTGTGTTGCTGATGTTTATGTTGACTCTCACAGTTTGGGGGAATTTTGAGTCTTTTGGGGTCAGACATCCCATAGATGCTTGCTTGAAGAGGCTCTCTGGCTTGAGCCCAGGCTTGATCACCTTTCCTTGGGCAGAAGTGCTGGCTGACAGCACAGTCAGCAGCATGAGGAGCAGTGAGCTGAGCTGAAGAAAATTGGTGCATTTAGGACACAAGGCAAGTACAACTGTGAAATTCATCCACAGTCAGCCTAGCTGGTAGTTAAAGACTATCTACAGGTTGGATTAATTATGGAAAAAAGTACATATGTCACATCCATTCTTCCTTTATTTCTGATTCTTACAGTGCTGACAGGTATGGTATATACCCAGTTGTAATTTGGTGATAAAAATATTTTAAATGATAGAGAACAATATCATACAAAAGAGAGCAAAAAAAAATATAACAAGAAAAAGACACTCTAAGGTTGAGTTTTTGATGTATTTCTTGACTGAGAGTATGCTGTGGTAGCCCATGTCACTTATATACTTGTACAGTCTCGTTACTGCCTCATGAGCAGTCTCCAATTTTAGTTAGTTTTAATTATTAATGGTTTAAACAAGCATTTTAAAGGTGAGTCAGATCTGTATTCCATCTATTAGAATTTAAATGTGTCTTTGTCAAATTGGGGGAAAAAACCAGAAAGCAAGTTCTTACCAGAGAAGTACAAAGGGTTGGAGACATCTTCCTTCTTCCTTTTACTGCGGCTGATGCTTGTGCTAGGTTCTGCTGAGCTGAAGGTGTTTGGGCACATTTGCTGATTGACCTTTTATAAGGGCTTCTGGGCTGTCCTAGATATTTTGGAGTAGGTGTGGGGTTTTTTCCATCCTTAACTGTGGTTTCTGACCATAACTTAAAAAGTGTATGTCTATAGATTCCATTACTGCAGGTGGAAGACAGGATATGTGCTCACCCTTTCTTAGATCTGTAGCTGATGTCATTCCTTCATCCATGTCACACAAGTGGCAACAAAACTCAGGGATGATAGTAGAAAACCACAAAAAAATTGGTACAAAATGCAAATTTGTGGGTTCAGACTACACCATTTTAAATTGGGATGCTGGAGATATCAAAAAAAATGTTTGAATCCCTTTGCTCCTAGGTCAGTCTGATATCTTTTCATCCCAAATCAGGCAGATGTGGTACAGCTGGCCCCCATTCAATTGCTCTCAAATTCTTTCTGTGGGCTGTCATGTGTCTTTATGTCTGAAGAGAAAGGTTCCTGCTTAAGTACCTGTTTTTTTCCCTCAAAATTCCTATGATGAATTGAGATATTTTTATTCATGGCTCAGACATGATATGTCAGTTTTGCTCAGAATGCTTTGTAATAGTGATTTCCCAAATTCAGTCGCTCTCCATCAAGGGAAAAAGAGTGAACTTTGGTTTTGAGCTTGCCATCTTTGCATTTTACTTTCATTTTACTTCTCTTGTGCTATAAGATAGGGCTTTGATCCTAAGGAGTCTGGGAAGTGTGATAGATGTAGTTACACTTTCAGTTCCTACATTAGGGAGAGGACAGAGGAGATCAAGAGAAACCTTGTGAAGGCTATGAAATGCAGAATTATTCCTCTTGTAGACGAGAAAGCTGGAAGAAACTACAGGCTCTTCGTCTGTGGTATATAGTTGATGGAATGCTGCACTTAAAAATATTGGGAGCTAAAATATCTTGCATCATGTAGCCTCAAGGCATTATGACTCTCTGTGTTCCAGCCTTGTGTCCTCTTCAGCTTATTTCAGAAACATACAGCAAGGAAAACCTTCAGAAAAGAGTAATCTTGGATAAGGGCTGTTAAGTCTTGTCCTATAAGGACACAGGAGTTTAGATGGCCCAGGTGAACCAACTCCATTTGCCATGGCGACACTCAGGATCCCTTTCACGTAGGGTTATTTTTCTAGATTTTCAGTAAGATGTTGTAAGGAGGTTGCAGTCCAGGAGAGATTGGGCTGCTTCAAGGCTGTGCCCCAGATGTGACTTTGTGTCATTGCTGCTGCTCTAACTAATTTTATTTTTCTTAGGCAGATGTCTTGATGAGCCCCAAATGCTTCTTAAAAGCTGCAGGCTTGACCCTGAAAGAGCCTTTGCCTGCAAGGAGGGAGGTTTGCATTCACTCCCCTCATCAGCTTTCAGGGATTTAAATCAATAGCTCTTCAGTCAGCATTTAGGTCACTGGGATTTATAGGATCTCTGGGACAGAGTGTTTTCATGATATCTTTCAGTATCCTTTGTTGAGAGCTCAGAGTTCCACAGTTACACCAGTCAGCAGCAAAGTAGGGATGTGGAAATTTTGCATAAAGTAGTTAGGTGCAGATGTGATGCTTAGGGACATGGTTTAGTGGTGGGTTTGGCGGCTGAGTTAATGGTTGGACTTGATGATCTTGAAGGACTTTTCCAGCCTAAATGATTCTGTGATTCTATATTGGACCAGGAACTAGAAATTTGATGCCTCAAGAGAGGGGCAGGCTCAAATCTCCCAGACTGCAGCTTCCCAGCTAATGATGCTGATTGTACCAAACTATGAGATGTGATAAACCAGGTACTGCTATCTTCTCCTATGAAATTCCTGCAGAGCAGATGGGGGATGGACACACACAAGGCTGTTGATTCTGCTCATAAGCTGAATTTCAGAGAGATTCTTGACAAATGAGCTTACATTTTAGAAAGGAGGGAGTGAACCTTCCAGTACCTGAAGGGAGTCTGCAAGAAAGATGGAGAGAGACTATTTACAAGAGCCTGGAGTGACAAGGGGGAAAGCTTCAAACTAAAAGATGGGATATTTAGATTAGGTTTTAGGAAGAAATTCTACCCTGTGAGGGTGGCACAGTTTGCCCAGAGAAGTTGTGTCTGCCTCATCCCTGGAAGTGTTTAAGGCTGGATGGGGCTTGGAACAAACTGGCTTAGTGGAAGGTGTTCCTGCTCATGGCATGGGGGTGCAATGAGATATCTTTAAGGTCCCTTGAACCCAAACCAGTCTATTATTCTATGATTCTATAACATCGAATCTATCCTTCTCTAACACTTCTTTCTTAAGAAATTACTCTCTTCACTTTGCTCTGACAGTGAGTTACAAGTAGCTCAAATGTGGACTGTAAAGTGACAGCCTTGAACTGCTGATCAGACCTTTTCTCAGGTATTATTTCAGTGATATTTTATAATGACAAAGACGGAAATAAGGTGTGCTTTTTACATTTGCTTACTATTTATGTGTAAGTCCAACATTTATTCACCTGTGCCATCCAAAGGATGTCAGTAAGGGTAGAATTTAGTTTGCAGTTTCTGGGATACCCATGACCTACATCCGCTAGTTTCAAAGGTGCTGATGCTACAGAAGTTAAATGTATAGTTCAGTTTCTCTCTTCAAGTTAGACATGTACAAGTTAAAGGAAATGGTTCCCTCAGAAGGGGTTTTCTCTAAAGCCATTTACTGAAATATCCATTCAAAGTGGGTCAGTAAAATTTCCAATTTTAGAAGCAAAAATGATTTCAAAAACCTATAAGGTAGCGGAAGGTCAGATTCAACCAGCCTCACCCAAAATCCAGGCTCGTCTGCCCCGAATGCGTCAGTGGTTTGGGTTACCTCAGTACTTGAAAGGTGAATAGTTAAGCATTCGAACATGGCTGATGGACCACAACACTGCAATGCTGAAAGAAACTTTCCATGGTTTATATCGTGCCACAAACACGTTTGTTTGCAAATGTCATAGGCAAGATCTGCAGGTCTGAGGAGAAAATATACCTCTTGAAATGCTTCCACCAGGTCTGAATTATACAAATGAAGCTCTCACATTTCTAGTTTCAACAGTTTTCCAAGTTCCAAATAGTTATTTCCTAATTCTTCCTTGTCTGAAGTGAAAAAAACCCATGATTTTCCTCACGAGATTAGAATTTACCCCATGGGATTTGTTTTATTCTGACACAGCTCTCTCTTAGAGAGAAGTCTGGAAACTGGGACACTAACAAAAGCTTACTGAAACAAAACAATTAAAGATTATCTAAAGCCTTTCAAAATGAACCCTAGCTGTTCTCTTGGCTCTGGTGAAAGCTTTCTTGAGATTAAGTTGGTATTTAAAGACTTTGCTCAGCTGAGATTCTTAGTGCCCAAATCCGAGTGTGTTGGCATTGATGACAATTTTCCTCCCCAAATAGTATCATAGAACCATGAAATGGTTTGGCTTGGAAAGGACCTTAAAGATCACCTAGTTCCAATCCCCTGCCAGGGAGGGGGACACCTTCCACTAGACCAGGTTTCTCCAATCCCCATCCAACCTGGCACTGAACACTTCCAGGCAGGGCACAACCACAGCTTCTTTGGGCAATCTGTGCCAGTGCCTCAGCACCCTCATTGTGAAAAACTTCTCCCTTATATCTAACTTAAATCAATCCTCTTTTAGTTTAAAAACATTGCCCCTTGTCCTGTCAAAAGAATATGATTGGTCTGCCAGCATAAACTTCCAGCTCATGTCTAGCCTTTTATCCACCAGCACCCTTCAAGTCCTTCTCCCTAGGGTTGCTCTCCATCTGTTCATCCCCCAGCCCGGATTAATACTAGGGGTTGCCCTGATCCAGGTACAGCACCTTGCACTTGGTCTTGTTAAATCACATGACAGTTCCATGGGCCACTTCTGGAGCTTGTCCAGGTTCCTCTGGATGGCATCCCATCCTTCAGATGACTTTTAAGGTCCCTTTGAACCCAAACCATTCTTTGAGTCTATGACATTCAGAGAAGGCCACAGAGATGTTCCACCTGGAGCACCTTCGCTATGGAGCCAGGCTGAGAGAGCTGGACGTGTTCAGCCTGAAGAAGAGAAAGCTCCAGGGAGACCTTAGACCCCCTTCCAGTGCCTAAATAGGCTCCAAGAGAACTAGAGAGGGCCCTGGGACAAAGGCCTGAAGGGACAGGACAAGGGAGAATGGCTTCCAACTGGGTAGGGTTAGATGGGATGTGGGGAGGCACTGGCACAGGTTGCCCAGAGAAGCTGTGGCTGCTCCATTCATGGAAATGTTCAAGGCCACATTGGATGGTGCTTAGAGCAACCTGGTCTAGTGGAAGGTGTCCCTGCCCGTGGCAGGGGGTTAGAACAAGGTTATCTTTAAAGATCCCTTCTAAACCAAACCATTCTATGTTTCTATGATTCTTTGAAATTATTTCACCAATCTCCTACCTCTTGATCTTGATACAGGAAACAAGGCAGAACCACTAAAATATCATTTTTGCTCTATTAAACACCTCTCCTTTTCCTCCCTAGCTGCTGCAGTAGAAATTATCTCCTACTGCATTCCTGAATTTTCCAAGTACAGCTAAATGGCTATTGCAGTTACACATCAGCTGTGGTTGCTGCCAGTGGTTCACATGTCTGTTGCATGACTAATATCAATAAATGGTAGATAGATACCCACTTGCTGGATAGTCCATGTGAAGGAACTGGACCACAAAGAAACACTCTAGAAAAGGGACACTAGGGGAGCATTAAGAGTTTGGTGCTACGTGCTGAAACACCAGCCCTTTGCTGACAGCTGCTCAGCCACCAGCTTTTGCTCCACCACCGACTACTTTCAAACCAAATTTAATTTGGGAAACTTGTTTTCTCACTGATGTGCCCTCACTGCACCTATGTCCCAGGGCTTATACTCAGGGCTGCCAGGCAGGTTTCATAAAACACACTTCAGAAATAATTTCCACTGTAGC